ATAATTGTCTTAATTTGTGAGAAAAATTCTGAAACAAAAATCTGTCAAAAATGGCATAATCATCTCAGGAAAGACACCTTCTGTTTAAAATTTTTCTCTCAAATTAAGACAATTATCATATTGTAATCTTTAGAAAATAAATTAGAAAAAAAATGCAATTGCGTCAGTATGATAATTTAGAAGATAAAGGAAATATTAAATTTACGAGTACACTATCCTTTCCTTTCACTGAACGAGCTGTCATGCGGTGTGTTGTTCTTGGCAGACACACGCAACCAACTGCAATAGCAAGAAAGAAGTTTTGGTCAAATATTCCCTTATATAACTGCACAAATCTGTCAGTTTATGATTATATAAAATTAATTGCAGACCATCATGGTATTCCCCTTATTAGAGGCTACAAAGTTTATGTGTGGAACAAAACCAAGTACTTTGATTTCAATATAGAAAAAGTCAAGGAATCATACACTGATGAAAAGTTGTTTAATGAGTTGCAAACTTTGAAATTCCAGAATATAATGAATGGGAACTATGTTCAAGAGTTGGTTCATAGTGATAAATCTGTTCTTCTTACAGATTTTTTCCAAATGGGAACCTTTAGTGCTAAAAATCTTGACTGCTTCCTTATTGTTCACAAGATACAACAAGATGCAAAGAAAGAGTTATGGGATTTGTTTGTTGATATTGTAAGTTCAATTTCTTTCTCTGATATTTATTCATCCATTTAGGAGAACAATGAAAACCAAACTAATCAACCTTCTTTAGCTGGAGGTAGAGGGACGAATCAACACGATAACAAAGATAAAAAGAAAGCTAAAAATAGTCAAAACCTTATCTCACCTTATTCCGGGAGAAAAGAAATCAAAGACTTGTGGGAAAAATTGCAATCTGGAGGTGCTGGAGAAGTGTATGACTTGAATAATGTAGTGTTACCTGATACACCTAAACCCCAATTTAACACTGCAAAGTTAGGATCAGAGAAACTACGTAGATTAATGGCTAGTACTGTTACTCGTTGTAACAAGGTCAATGGTACAGTTTTCCAAATTCGTGACACAATAATTAATGAAATTGGACACGGATTTTTCATATCTCCCTCACACTTAGTTACATGTATCCATAACCTTCGTTTAGATAAACCAGATGAAATTGTGAAAGATATGACGGTTGAAAATGAGCTGTATATTTCATTCACGAACCAAACTGTGAAGACCAACTATAAGTTGCTTTATCCTAAAAAACTGAATGAAACAGTTTACAATGATTTCGACAATCTAGACGTTGCAATCTTAGAACTTGATTTGACTGCCAAAGTGGAAAACAAAATTGACATATTTGACACTCCCACAGTTAATTTTATGAAATTTATTAATGATGCTGGAATTGTTATTAATCCAAACCATCCATCTCTTCAACCGTCAGTTATTTATTATTATGATAATAATGATCCCTCTACACTTAATGAATCCATTCATG